TCTCTCTCTCTCGTCTCAGCTGGGTGGTGGTGGTGGTTGTGGTGTGTTAGCGTGTGTGCGTGTGTGTGTGTGTGTGTGTGTGGGGGGGAGGGGGTCAGAGGTATGACCATTGATAGCTGCTCAGCGCCCGCCACCTTGACAAGCCCACGCGGTAATCTCACATCGCCTTTGCCCCTGTGACAAATCAGGGCTCAGTATATTGGCATTACGCGCAGATACGATTCATAAACCCTGATCCGACTTGCATTAATGACTTATATGTTATATTATGTATAGAAAATGGAGTATCAGTGGTTTAAGCATGTATAATGGATGGGGGAGAGTTGTGTGTATGCTGTATATATATGTATATTTTGAAGTATTTATACATATATGCACTATTATAAACATACGTGAATATACATTTATATATATGATTTTTATATTTTTATTTTTATACGTATATACACTACTAGATACCTTATGTGTATAAATATTTTATAATTTATTTAAATAATATATTTTATAATGTTATTTTTTAAGCTCTTCCATCACTTAAATAAATTGTTACCCCTTGTGTTTGCATTGTCTGTTCTTAATATTCCTGTAACTTTTTCAGTCTATTAGTTTTGTTTAAAAGTACATAAGAAGCTTAAAGTCTTTCCTAACATTCACACAGACGCAAGAAATACTTAGCTTGTTGTTTTTCTTGTATGCTGAGTTGCTATCTCCTGTTTTATTAATTATTTTATGTTTTTGTCTTTTTCGTTGATGTATTTTTGTATTGTTCTCTATATTAAACCATCTCTCAGTAACGTTCTGATGCACTATTGTTGTTAGTCTTGTCATTCTTAGTTAAATTCTACCTTTCGCTTTTCTTCTATAATCATTATTCACTTTTCGTATTTTATTATGTAGTGTTATATTATGTTTCATTCTTTTATTCGTTGGTTTATGTCCTTTCTTCCAATTTTATCTTCCGTGCCTATTCAGTTTCGTAGATTTATTCTGATCCTTATTTAATTTTCTTTCTCGTGTATATAAGTCCCTCGTGTCTTTATTCCACTGTTGTTGTTCCTCATATTCTGTTTCGTATTCTTATAAATCTCAAAACTCTATGACAACTTCTCTGTGTCTCCTACCTCTTCATTCCTCCGTATTGCTGCTCCTCATTCTCTTGCGTCATATCCCTCCTAACTCTCAATCTTATCTGACAGCTTCTATGGTTTTCCTACCTCTATGACTTGACTGGTCAGGTGTGTTCAGAGAGATCCACACTATCCCTCTTGACACGGTGACGCCATCCCAGTTCACCTTCTCGTCTGGGGTGGGTTTTTTTTTTACAATAATTTGTCTCTTGTGGTTTTGTTGTTTCGTACTTTTTTTGGATGCTGTGAGTCTTTTTTGTCCTGTGTTGTGGGGAGAGGTGGGTGAAAGGGTGAAAGATGTGTGTGTGTGTGTGTGGTAGTTGAGGGTGAGAGGTAGGTGTATGGTAGTTTATAATGGGTGGGATTAGGTGATGGGTGACGACTATGCAGTATGTAGTGAATGGTAGTGGGTGGAACTGGGTGTGGGTGGGTGTAATGTCTGGCAGAGGTGTGTGGGTGTCTGGGAGGCGACACTGGCCGCCCACCTCCCCAGCATCGCCCACATTAAACTGTAATCTGATCGTGTGTGTTAGGACAGGTTCTGGGATCACCTCACCTGAGTTCCACCACATCACCTGATTATATTAAATTACCTGATTACACTAGATCAGCTGATTCCCTTTAATCAGCTGATTGTCTGTAATAAGTTGATTGTCTGTAATAAGCTGATTGTTTGTAATAACCTGATTGTTTGTAATAATCTGATTGTCTGCAATAAACTGATTGTCTGTAATCAGCTGATTGTCTGTAATAAGCTGATTGTTTGTATTAACCTGATTGTCTGCAATAAACTGATTGTCTGTAGTCAGCTGATTGTCTGTAATAAGCTGATTGTCTCAGGTCGAAAAATTATCTCAGATTACCTGTTGCTTTAAGCTTATCTAATTCTTCCATTTATGATAACTCAATTAAATCACCTGACTCAGTTGGATCAGGTGATTGTGTTTATCTCAGCTTGTTCGTGTATATGTGTTGGTCACCTGATACTGAACCTCTCTGAAGCTGTGTTCTAGACACCACCAGTATAAGAAGTATAATGTTATCTTCAAAACTGGGTAACCTGGATCACATGAACATTAGCCATCCACCTTATTAAACACTCTAGGGTTAGGTTAGGTTAGGTAACGTTACGTTAGGTTATGTTACGCTAACGTTAGTGTTTATTTTTAGGGTGAAATAATCATGGGCGCTAATCTTCATGTGATCCGATAATCTTTTTACACTTCGAAATATAAATCAGGTTCCAAATTCACGAAGGTTCGTACAGTGACTGAAGCAATAAGAACACGTCTAATAGATCGATTTACCACAAAACCCAAAAATTATCACCAAAATTAGCCAAAAGAAAATTATAGCATGACTAACAAGATACATTTACTCAACACATACGTGAAAGTCATCAATCAGTCAAGTCAGGACAGACGGAAACACACCCACCCCACAATGCACTCATATCACTTACAAAGAATTCAAGAATTTCCCTTATATAGAATTACCACTTTATTTCTTCTTATTACGGCGGGCCCTTGTACCTCAGCGACACAAGCTTAGGTGATTAGGACACAAGCTTAGGGAATTATTACACAAGCTTAGGTGATTAGATTAATATTACTCGCTTTAAAAAGGATTAGCATTTGATAGAGGAGTTGGATCCTTTTAATGTACAAAGACTCAAGTGACGCGACCACCTTGGTAAGGAGTCAAGAGCCTTTAGTGTAATTTAGGAAAGTGTAAATAAGTGGTTGAGTCTTAAGTGGGAGATTCGAGGAGATTCGATTGTGTGTGTGAGTGAGAGAGAGAGAGAGAGAGAGAGAGAGAGAGAGAGAGAGAGAGCACGTCATTTGTAGAAAGAGGAGGAGGAGGAGAGGAAAGATAGAAAATAAGGAGAGAAGGAAAACAAAAGGGGAGGGAGGGAAGAGGGAACGAGGGAAGGAAGGAGAGAAAGAAGGAGGGAGAGAAGAGTGAAGGAAGAGGGAAGGAGAGAGGGTGAGACACAGATTCATGTATGAGGCGATCACTGGTGACCTAAGCTCATGTTATGACCCATTAACTGGGTCTAGTACCACGAAAGGGAGGAGGAGGAGGTCGAGAAAGGGGAGGAATAGGGGTGTGAAACAGTAGGAATAAATAGGAGGTAGGGAGAGAAGTAGAGGGGTTACGTAGGGGAGGAGGAGGTGGGGGGGGAAGTAGACACCCTAGACAACAAACAACCTCACATACCCTCCCCTTATCCCACCGTTTTATATGGACCTGGATCTACGGCTATTTCATTTTTTATGGACGGGGTCAGAATCCATGACTGTCACCCCTTTGTATGAGACAGAATTAACGCCCCTTTATATGTTTACCTGTTGAACACACTAACAAGGCCAATCCCCCCTCCCCCTCCTCCTCCTCCTCCCTCCCTCCTCCCTCCTCCTCCCTCCTCCCTCCCTCCCTCCCTCCCTCCCTCTTATATACATATTAAACAAGGATGTACCCGTATATATGTGTGTGTGTAATATAACCCTGAATATCTTTACATTCCTCCATCTACGTAACACGGAAATAATAATCTATCTTTATATTTGCGGAAAAATATATGATTCTACATCTTGATTATATAAGATTCCACCTATTACTTATTTCCCTATTGTATAAACGAGGGACACTGATTGTATAACTGATACAGGAGGTAAGAATATATGGTAATTTTTCTACCCTTTATTGTGAGTTAATAATATATTTGGTCTTGTTGTCTTTGTACAGAATTATCATCTGTCTCTCTTCCTCTGTCCGGTGGAAAAGTTGAATTTAGTATTAATTTGTTTTCCCCGTATCATAATTCTACAGTTATCTGTGACTTCTGTTCCTTATTCTCTATGGGACAGATTTTAAGTATTTTTTCGCTCTCAAAATAAGGAAAAAGAATCCACAATTATTATACTTTTTTTTTTATTCTCGTACAACTTTATTTCTTTTATTGAATTTAGATAAAGAAGAATATTGATGTTTTTACTTTAGATAGACAGGTAATTAATGTCATCTAACTCAGGTGTCTTGAGTTTGGGAGTTTACTGTATATATCAGGGTTAGTTACTAGGCCGGTGTCGATACATTCCACCATATGGTACTCGTTATATTTAAGTCCCTATATTTTTATTTTTAAAAACTGAGATGAAAAATAATGGTAGTATTTAACATATCAAAGTATTCCATAATTTAGTCAGTTCTCTTCCATATATCTTTCGATGAATATTTTAATTAGTTTAAATGTTACAAATACAGTACAGGGTCATCGTAAAAGAAAGTATTTGATAGACATATAACGATTTACAATCTGGGTATTCTTATTCTATGACTGTATTAATCCTTGTAAAAAAATAGTATCAGATTATATATATATATATATATATATATATATATACAGTATATATTCCTCTTTTATATTAATTAAAATGTTCAGGTTCAAGATTTTGTTAAAGATTGTTTCAAAACTTAGTCATTTGATGTCATATAAAAGAGACGAAGTAATACACCGAAAAAAAAAGAAGAAAATTCAATACACGCAGTTGTCTTGGGCCGATTGAAATTTTACACTTTTCAAAGCAATGATGATAATAATAATAATAATAATAATAGTAGAAATAATAATAATAATAATAACCAGTAATCTTAGTTAAGAACCAAGACCCAGTGCATCTTGTCTATAACCCAGAACCAGGCTATTTTAACTTTGGTCCAGCACAAGAACATCTTATTTTAGAACCAAGAATATCTCAGTTAAGAACCGAGCAAAAGACGAGAGGTGGGGGGGGTAATATAACGACACACTATCACGAACCCGAATAATCTTCCTAAACCACACACTTAAGAAGGAGAGCATCTTAGCATATGAATCACCGAGGATCTCTGCCACAAGCACCGCCATCATTCGGGGCACGTCAACAGCTGCCAAGGGTAGAAGAAGGTAATGTAAGAAGGCGCCACTTGGGCATGCTCACCACCACACCGCTGATCCCTCGTATAAAGTCTGGGACCTCGTAAGGTAAGTGCCTCCAGCCCTTGCTTACTGCTCGTTGGCGGCCGCTAACGACCCACTCATCTAATTCAGTGAATAACCTCTAAGTACTCGCTTACGAGTGGCGAGTGGCTGAGCAGACTGGCTGGGTATGAGAGAGGGAGAGGGTGGATCAAGGCTGGTGATGTGAGCGCCCTGGTTGAGTGGGCGTCACTGGTGCGTGGTTTATTATACGCCCGTCCGCAGTGTCCCTGTTCTTGGTCACACCCCTTTTGCCGCCGACGCCGCCACTGCCACCGCCGCTGCCGGATGCTATCGTTACCGCCGCCGTCGCCGCTACATACGCAGAGCAAACGAGACACAACACAGAAAACGAACCACAAGACAAATTACCAGAGACAGCGTATGTACACAGAACGACGAAGGCATCATAAACACAAGGCATAAACAAATAGAAAAAGATGGTGACAGTAAGAGGAAAGGAAGATGGAACAGATTAAGAACTACTGAAGGAGGAACATTAACGTGAAGGGTATATAATGTGATGAAGTTTGGTGACAGCATTCTGAGGATCATCAAGTAAATTGACCTTTGAACCGACCTCGACCAGAAGGGTGGGTGGTGGTAACAGAGAGGACGGTGAGGAAATGTAAACAGAAGAGTGAAGGTAATTAATTGGAGCCTTCTGTAGCTAAAGCCTAAACGGACAGGCGAACGGAGGAACTTACTCTACAGATCAACAGAGGAACTTACTCAACAGATCAACAAACAGAGGAACTTACTCAACAGATCAACAAACAGGGGAACATACTCAACAGATCAACAAACAGAGGAACTTTCTCAACAGATCAACAAACAGAGGAACTTTCTCAACAGATCAACAAACAGGGGAACTTACTCAACAGATCAACAAACAGAGGAACTTTCTCAACAGATCAACAAACGGGGGAACTTTCTCAACAGATCAACAAACAGAGGAACTTACTCGCCTTAGTTTCGTCAAGTAACAGCAAGTGTAAACAAAAACCTTAAGTAAATGACAACGACGAAGGTGATGATGAAAATGACAGGAGAGGATGCCAGGCTGGTGATAGTAACTTATCATTTTCTTGGACCTAACCTAACCTAACCAACAATACGTAAGACGATGACGAGCCTTTGTCTGACCGGGAGACTATCTGAGCAATGCGGTTTATTATTGTTGACTTAATGGCTGTACAACATGGTCACTGAATACCAAAATGATATAGTTAATGAAGAGTAATTATAAAAGCGTGGAAATATGTCAATACTGGACCTAACACTTAAGAGACAGTGGAGAAAAACTACACCAATGAAAGGCTGTTGAGACTTTAAGCAAAAGTAGGAAGAAATCTTATGAGGGCTGAGACCCATAAGTCGACCAACAGAAGAAAAAAAACATGATTGGTATTAAAAGGCGAGACGAAGTTGAAGAAGGAAAACCTTGGAAGAATATTAAAGGTTTTATCTAACAATGAGCCATGGACTAACGTTCGTTATGTATTTGTGTACGTGTGTTGGTAATTGTACACAGGTGTAAGTGTAATAAAGAAGAAATAACCTTGAAGGAGAACAGCCGGGGTCCTCAGGCAGACTCTGGCACTTGCAGCTGAACCCTTGTCCCAGGGTTCAAAAGTGAGTTGGGGCGACGCGCTTATCATTGACGTCACAAACGTCGTACGTCAATCGCAACACATGACGTATGAACAGACACCTGCTCAGGAGCGACTTTTTCTCACCCGAAGAATTAGTTATAGGAGGAGTGTGAGGTGAGTCAGGGGTGGCGGGTGCACATCGAGTGACCCTCCCACAGCCATGGTTTATACCTGACTTTTCTGCATGGTTGGCTCGGCGAGGGTCAGTTGAGTGCTGCTACACGGAATAACAAGAAGCTGTGTATACCCCAGCCTGGCCAGGTCAGACCCAGGGCCGGCAGTAGGCCTCTTGTGTCAACATGTACCCACGCCTCGGACTCACCACAGAACAGTCAAAACTCTCCTACGATAATACCCAGATCCACACCCAGTGCTCACTGGTGCGGTGTGAAAGGTCATCCGCGTTATACTATAATCCTGGTATTCATAGTGTGAGTACAGTATGAAAGCGAGGGTTGGCGGGCAGGTCCTCAGTCAGGCACTATGCTTGTCTGGAGGTGTGAGCGGCGGCGAGGGAGAAGGAGGCTGCAGAAATATCCGCCAGACAAGGACCCACAATGCTATTATTGTGCTTGGTAATCAACAGTCGTCATCGGTAAAATACAAACGTCTTACCCTTCCAAGTACCGCGCCCCGCCCCGCCTCCCCCCCCCCGAAACACAAACACCACAACAGTGACAACTTTTTAATTAAAGCCTTGAGGCAATAAACACAGCGTGCATTCCCAGGTATTTGCTAGTGCTGGTTACACGATGTTGCGACCCGCCAACACTTACGCACCTCCGACAAGCTAGCCACCAGTCCTTGAGGGATAACAGCTTTTAATTGCAGTCTAGAGACGTGCACAAAGACGTTCCTGCTGCCTGCTCGGGGAGGACTCGCTGGCTGGTAAGGATTAGAGGATATTCTCGCTGTTAGCATTTAATTATGATCCGGAGAGGTGGGTATGATTGTACTGTCACTCAGGGGCCGCCCACCCGTCCGCCGCCGCCCACCCGTCTATCCCACCCGTCCGTTGCCGCCCACCCGTCTATCCCATACGTCCGTCGCCGCCCACTCGTCTATCCAACCCGTTTGCCACCGCCCACCCGTGTCTCCCACCTGTCCGTTGCCGCCCACTCGTCTATCCCACCTGTTTGCCGCCGCCCACCCGGTTATCCCACCCGTCCGTTGCCGCCCACTTGTCTATCACCCGCCTGCCGCCGCCCGCCGTCTACCCCACACATCCGTTGCCGCCCTTCTATCCCATCCGTCCGTCACCGCCCACCCGTTCGCGCCCACGTCTACCCACGTCCGTTGCCGCCCGTCTATCCCACCCGTCCGTCGCCGCCACGCTCGTCTATCCCACCTTTCCGTCGCTACCCACCGTCTATCCTACCCGTCCGTCACCGCCGCCCACCGTCTATCCTACCTGTCCGTCGCCACCCACCCGTCTATCCTACCCGTCCGTCACCGCCGCCCACCAGTCTATCATGTATCCATTCCTCCGCCCTACCCGCCTCCTCCTTCCACCACCTCCTTCCTTCTACCGTCATCCACCACCACCGCCTATCCTCACCTAATCACACCCTATCCATCCCCTGTCGACTCTTCACCCACCACGCATCCCGCCCGCCCGTCATCCCTTCTCCCCGCCCATTTGCCACCCAACTGACACTATTCCCCAACGTACCACCCACCCATCACACCTCCACTATTGTTTGTCACCGCCTTCGCCCACCCACCCACCCACTCACTCCGACTTCTGGTTATAACAAGAATATAAGTAAGCTTCTCTGGGGAGGGATTTTAGATGACCCTTAAAGAGAACGCTTGTAGTGACTCGTCGATAGAGAACTGTGGTTTCTGAGGTTTTTGAGAACAGCTGTACAAGACTCATTTCGAAACCGATATATAGAGAACAGGTGTACAAAAGAAAACAGGTGGTCAAGTTATTGGTTAATGGAAATGTTGTTATAGTGAGCAGTTGTAAAGTGCGAGTAGGGGAAGGTTCTTTATGACGTCATCATCATCATCATCATGACCACCACCAGCATTATCATCACGACCACCACCATCATTATCATCACGACCACCACCATCATTATCATCACGACCACCACCATCATCATCATCATCATGACCACCACCATCATTATCATCACGACCACCACCATCATCATCATCATCATGACCACCACCATCATTATCATCACGACCACCAACAATATCATCACGACCACCACCATTATCATCGCACCACCACCATCATTATCATCACGACCACCAACATCATTATTATCATCACACCACCACCATCATTATCATCACGACCACCACCATCATTATCATCAACCACCTTCACCATCATTATCATCGATGACCACCACCATCATTATTTACTGACCACCACCATCATTACATTTACTTCATAACCACCAATTAATTGCTATCACTTCACAACCACCACCATCATTATCATCACAACCACCACCATCATTATCATCACGACCACCACCATCATTATCATCACGACCACCACCATCATTATCATCACGACCACCACCATCATTATCATCACAACCACCACCATCATTATCATCACGACCACCACCATCATTATCATCACTACCACCACCATCATTATCATCACGACCACCACCATCATTATCATCACAACCACCACCATCATTATCATCACGACCACCACCATCATTATCATCACGACCACCACCATCATCATCATCATCATGACCACCACCATCATTATCATCACGACCATTAACTCCTGGGATCCCATCGAGAATTTCCTTACCTTAACCTTTCTTACCTGTTACAAAATGGCCTCATCTTTGCTCTTTTACTTCCTTAGGTCTTGCGGTTTGTGATTTTACCTCATTATTCTTGTTCTTCATTTATTGTGTGTGTGTGTGTGTGTGTGTGTGTGTGTGTGTGTGTATTTAATTGCCATAACCTACACCTCTATGTCACCTTTGAGTGCTAGGAGGTTGGTCAAATATTATTTTTTCATGGGAGACAAAAGGTATACATATTAGTTGGGTGATTTATGGCTTAGCTCTCCAATGGTATAGTAGTAGTAGTAGTAGTAGTAGTAGTAGTAGTAGAGTCCCTAGACGACTGGTGAATAATGTCTGGTGTTGGTCACTCCTAAACACTGACTCGTCTTGTACTGATTATAAGAGTTGGTTTTGTTTAGAAGCTGACAATATGTTTTCTTTTGTGATAATTATGTGTATTAGTGGTCGGAGGTTGACATAGGTGCACACACACATACATACACATACAGGCACACACACACACACACACACACACATACACACACACTACATAAATCCCTCTTACACACAGTGACCACAAGCTGCCTGTAGTAACTGTCCTCGTGTCGTTGTGGTCAAGACATTTTATTTTGGATTTAATTTGAGTCATAAATTACCGTCAGTGAGGTATAGAGCGGCGGCCATCATACCTCCGTACTCTTAACAGGTTTGGATAAGGAGTTACAACCTCTTTAAACATTGACATTTATTCTTACCTGCGTGGGATTAAGACATTATAAAACCCGCAATGTACAGAAGGAGTAAAGTCGTAGCAGAAGAAGACCCTGTCCCCCCCCCCCGGGACCCCAGCATAAGAGAAGAGGTGTAAAATTCGCTACCCCAAAAAAGTATCTATACGGAAATGTTCGATGAATTTCTAAATGAACACTGCGACTCCTGTTGTCTCAGTAGGGTTGTCAGAATCGTTCATCCGTTGTTTCATATTGTTTAACAAAAAATTCATCAAGATACTTTTTTGGGTGTGAGTTTAGTACCTGCAGAAGGAGGGGAGTGGTGGGGGGTGGGGGGGTAGAGGTGTAGGTAATTAGTGATTTAGCTCACCTTTGGTCCAAGCTCATTCACATCAGGATACACTGGTTCGATTCATGGGTGTCTAGTGGGATGGTTATGGTACACTTAGAGCTGATCACTGTACCAACACCTGCAATATGGTACACTTAGAGCTGATCACTGTACCAACACCTGCAATATGGTACACTTAGAGCTGATCACTGTACCAACACCTGCAATATGGTACACTTAGAGCTGATCACTGTACCAACACCTGCAATATGGTACACTTAGAGCTGATCACTGTACCAACACCTGCAATATGGTACCTTAGAGCTGATCACTGTACCAACACCTGCAATATGGTACACTTAGAGCTGATCACTGTACCAACACCTGCAATATGGTACACTTAGAGCTGATCACTGTACCAACACCTGCAATATGGTACACTTAGAACTGATCACTGTACCAACACCTACAATATGGTACACTTAGAGCTGATCACTGTACCAACACCTGCAATATGGTACACTTAGAGCTGATCACTGTACCAACACCTGCAATATGGTACACTTAGAGCTGATCACTGTACCAACACCTGCAATATGGTACACTTAGAGCTGATCACTGTACCAACACCTGCAATATGGTACACTTAGAGCTGATCACTGTACCAACACCTGTAATATGGTACACTTAGAGCTGATCACTGTACCAACACCTGCAATATGGTACACTTAGAGCTGATCACTGTACCAACACCTGCAATATGTGGCTGATCACTGTACCCAGCACCTGCAATATGGTACACTTAAGGCTGATGCTGTGCACCTGCAATATGGGGCTGATCACTGTGCCAGGCTGATCACTGTACCTTTAATATAGTACACTTAGAGGCTGGTCACTGTACCAGCACCTGTAATATGGTACACTTAGAGCTGATCACTGTACCAACACCTGCAATATGGTACACTTAGAGCTGATCACTGTACCAACACCTGCAATATGGTACACTTAGAGCTGATCACTGTACCAACACCTGCAATATGGTACACTTAGAGCTGATCACTGTACCAACACCTGCAATATGGTACACTTAGAGCTGATCACTGTACCAACACCTGCAATATGGTACGCTGAGAGCTGATCACTGTACCAACACCTGCAATATGGTACACTTAGAGCTGATCACTGTACCAACACCTGCATTATGGTACACTTAGAGCTGATCACTGTACCAACACCTACACTGTATCACACCTGTTATTTATCTTCATGGGTGAGTCTGTACCACCTGTAATTATCCGAACCAGCTATGACGTGAGCCAGGTAGGGATAGGTGAAGGGGAGGAGGACACAGGGAAGGTATACTAGGTGTAATTAGGTGAAGGTGTACTGTGATCACTGCTTTGAGGTGTTGCTCCCCCTCCCCACCCCCCGCCACAACACCTTGATGCTCCTGCTAGGTTATTTATCTATCGATACGTTTGTCTATTTGTCTATCGTCTGATTTTATTCCCTGTCTGTGTATCAAAATATCTAGTTGTTTGTTATTATTTACAGCCTCGTGTGTAAACAAAAAAGTAAACAAGACTCGCCTAAAACCAAACAACCAAACAAACAAACAAACAAAAACATCATTACATAAAAAAAAATTCAGTGGTATGTTATTATTCTTCCGGTCTCATATTGTACATCTATCTATCTATCTATCTATCTATCTATCTATCTATCTCCACACCTCACGAGCTATCTACTCTTCCTC